AATAAAAATAATAATAACAATAATGATAATAAAAATAATAATAATAATAATATCAATAATAATAATAATTACAATAAGAATATCAATAATAATAACAATAACATTAATAATATCCATAATAATAATAATAATAATAATAATAATAATTTGATGATGATAATAGTTTGATTATTTTCAGGCTTGATAAAACCGATTAAAAATGTTAGTAAATAATGAAATGTCCGATTTAAGAACTTAGATTGGGATATATGGTTCCTATTTGGCTATTTTTGGGGGGACCAAGAAGGTTCTGGGAACCAAAGTCAAGAGAAAACGGAGAACATTCCCTGTTATGAGTGAAAGAGACAGAAATTCTCCATGACAACAAATATTTGGGTTTCGTTCCTTAATGGAAGGAAGATTGAGTAATATTAAGGGTGTGTGTGTGTGTGTGTGAGTGAGTGAGAGAGAGAGAAAGAGAGAGAGATGTTTGGGTGAAATATTTAGGGTGTGTGTTCATGGAAAAGCAGTGAGGTGTGTGTGTGCGTGTGTGTGTGTGTGTGTGTGTGTGTGTGTGTGTGTGTGTGTTGAAAAGCGTTAATGTGTGTTTTTGTGTGTGTAAAAGATTGTGTGTAGACTTTAAGTCGGTGTGTGTGTGTGTTTGAGTTTTTGTGTAGACTTTAAGGTGTGTGTGTGTGTAAGTTTTTATGAAGGCTTTAATGTGTGTATGTTTGTGCAGGAACGTTTAATGTGTGTTGTTGTGTGAGAAAGTTTGTGTGAAGACTTTAAGGTGTGTGTTTGTGTGTGAGAATAAAGGCTTTAAAGGGTCTGTGTGTCTGAGTTTGTGTGTAGACTTTAAAGTGTGTGTTCATGTGAGTAGCTACTTTAAGGTGTGTGTTTGTGTGAGAGTTTGTATGAAGGCTTCAAAGGGTCTGTGTGTAAAAGTGTGTGAAAACTTAAAGGTGTGTGTGTGTGTAGTCTTTAAAGTATGTGTGTGAGAGAGTTTGTATGAAGGCTTTAAAGGGTGTGTGAGAGTTTGTATGTCCATATCTATGTTCGCCTTTAATGTGTGTATGTTTAAGGTGTGTGTCTTAGTGTGAAGTCTTTAAGATGTGTGTGTGTGAGAGAGAGAGAGATCGTATGAAGGCTTTAATATCTTGTGTGTGTTTGTGTGTGTGTCTGGAGTGAGAGAGAGAGAGAGAGAGAGAGAGGGTGTGAGTACTTTAAGGTGTGTGTTTGTGTGTCCGTGTGAATTCTTTAAGGTGTGTGTGTGTGTGTGTTCACCTGTCTTGAGTGGGCGTGGTCTCTGTCGGGCGGCTCTGGGGCCATTTTCTGCTCTCAGTGTTTGTGATTCAGTGACGGGACTGGAAACACTCGCTCAAACTCTGAAATCATGAAATCACGCTGATGTTAAAATCAACGGACTCACTCTGACCACAGCCATGAAGAAAGGACCGCTGCACTTCCTGAGCCGGAAGAACCACTCTCTGTACGACACAAATGTGGATATTAACAAGGAGATGGGTAAGAGAAGCAGAACTCACTCTCGCGTTCAGCTCAACAGAACCAGTGTCCGTTAAAGAGGTGTTCTTCAGGTGACCTCTGAACCTGCGCGTCGCTCTTCTGCGCAACAGCTCCCCTAAAAACACCTTTAAACGCAAGAAAAACACTCTAAAACACGGAGGTTCGTGTTTAATTTGTAAGTTTGTGTTTAAAACAGTTGTTTCCTGATGGATTAAAAGTGAAACCGCTTACAAAGCGGTGTTTTCTTAAGTTGACAAGCTACGTGTCCGATTACACTGACACATAACTCTGTTTTTTGGAAATATTACATAATAATCCAACATCTATGCGGATTTATAACATGTATAACACCGTCATACAACTATGTTAGAAATATAATAACATTGTAATACCATGTTTTCATACTTATACCATGGTAGCCAGCCATGTTTATTAGACACCATGACAACCCAAAATACTACAGTCATTTATATAGTAAATAATATGCTTCTGAAACATCCAAAAGCACTTGAATTAATCTGTTGTGGTGATTCTATCATTTAAAGCTAGATAATAAACAAATTACTCAACACGTTTTCTAAAAACATACACCAATACACAGTTTACTATAGTAAAACTATCCATGTATGAATATAATGTTGCTCATAAATGCTCAAATGTTTTTTTTTGTTTGCCTTATTTGTTTGTTTGTGAGCCAAATATGTGAACAGGCTTTAGTTTATCCGTTTTACATCATTATCATCATCATCGCATTTCTGGGCTTTAACACTGGTCATATTAAACGACTCGCCTGTTTATGCACATCTTACCTATATTACAAAGGAAGATCAGATAACATGATCTCTGGCGTCATAAATCAGGTCAAACTTCCTGTTTGTAAGGTTTGACGACGCTCATCTCAGTGCTAATCACATCATTAACACATTTAAAGCGGTCAATGAACGAGCTAATAGATAATCTATCTCATATTACGAGATTGTAGACTGTAGATCAGGGACACTCGCTCAGAAATGATCTGAAACAACGCAGTCATGTTGGATAACAGCAAAATGACGTAAACGTGAATGTAAATTTAGATTTGAGTGTGTTTGGAAGAACGCTAAGCAAACACTGACCTTTGACCTGCAATAACGCAAATGCACCTGACGTTGTTATTCTACACGTGTCACGTGTTGTTGCGCAGTGACTTTGAACCATACGGGCTGCTAGTTTAGCCATGCTAACCAGGTAAACATCGTAATTAATTGTTCATGCTTTTTTTTTTAAAAGGTAACCTAGAACTGATGTTGGACTCTGCTGCCATCCCAGAATCTGGAACCGCCAAAGTTCGCTCGAGACCGACTGTCAAACACTTCACGGTATGTCAAAAGCACGCCAGACTATAATATAAAAGTAAACACACACGGATTTAAGTTTTTAGAATAAAAGCAAACACAGAAAATTGTGTTTAAGCTGTCTTAGTGTTACTAAAAAACAGTTGTAGTGTATTTTTTGGGATGTATTATGGCAACCCTTGATATCTGTTCATGGATCCACAATTATAACACTGTATTACTGCAACAAAGAAGGCTAAAACAATGGTGTGTGTTTTATAACAGCACATAATCCTGGTAAATGTCCAAAAAAAAAACAAGCTTAAAGTATGTCATATTAAAAAAAAATTACATTTATCAGTTTCTTAAGGAATTCAGGGGATTTTTATGTATATTATTTACAGCAAAACACAAGAACTGAAGTAAATAATACCATAGATTTTGAAAATGCAGCCACAAAATCAGTCATTTAAGGCCTCAGATATCTATCAACCCGTCCGTCCGTCTATCTATCTATCTATCTATCTATCTATCTATCTATCTATCTATCTATCTATCTATCTATCTATCTATCTATCTATCCATCCATCTATCTATCTATCTATCTATCTATCTATCTAATAAAATAAAAAAATGTCAGCAAAATCCTACATGGACTGATATATGGTGTGTAAACAGCATGTTGTTTGGGCATTTACCAGGGCAATGCTTTGTTTTTGCGTGTGGTCCCATGATATAATGACATTTTAGTTTATGCATTATACTTGTGCCAATTTTGGAATGTATATTCGTTTTTGAAGCACCTTGTGGTACCATGTAAATACCGTGGTAGATGAAGATGTATTCTTTCACTAGGGGTGCTTTCACACCTACACTTTTGTTTGGGAACGTGTCTCGTTTGCCCAGTTAGCGCGGTTCGTTTGGCATATGTGAAAAGGGCAATCGCGCTCTGTTCTGCGCCAAAGTAATCGCTCCGAGATCGCCTGAGTGAGGTGGTCTCGGCTCGATTGAAACAAACCCTGGAGCGGTTCGATTGCAGTGAGAAAGCGATCTGATCCGAGCGCGGTTATATCACAGTGTTTTATGGATATGTAATAGGCATACAGCTATATTAAGAGAGAATTATGAGTAGGGTGGGAAGTTTCGCGAGTCTCTGGATGCCCGCAAACGAGTGATGATCTCCCGGTAATCTCACGTCTCCCTCCCGGTCCTCAAATAGGCATCGTCGCGCACCCTTCTCACCTCTCCCCACCGCACCTCTCCTCAGACACGTCGCGCGCGCGCACCCTGTCAATCACCACCAAACCACCACCTCTCCTGACAGCTGAGCGGGACTCTGCAAAATAAACCCTGACACTCTGACCAATGTGAGGAGAGTTTACTCACACGTGACTTGTTTTAGCTCTTTTGGTCCGATTAGAAACTTTGCAGTGTGAAAGCGAACCGCTCCAAGAGCAAAGAGCAACAATGTAACAATTGTAATCTCTGTTTCAGAACAACTGAATCGGTTCACAGGTGTGAAAGCACCTAGAAGAAACACAAGCATGTTTTCCTTGCAGAGTCGTCGTCTTATTTAAAGTCCAAATAAGTTGTTTTGTTTTCAGAAATAATGAGTCAAAGTGAGTTTTTCCTTAAAACAAGCTAAATAATCTGCCAATGAGGTCAGCAAAGTAATCTAGTTTTAGCTTTAAAATAGATTTCACGTACCCTATTGGCAGATTATTTTGCTTGTTTTTAGGGAAAACAACACAATATCTTTTACATGTCTCTTTATTTAAGACTTCGGACTGGAAACAAGACCAAAAATAGCACTGTATAACACTAATAGTGTTGTAATAGGACAATATAATAGTACACTATTGCATTTTTTGCGGTGTCCATCAATTACTGCCACGCAATCTGAACAGTCTTAGTTTAAATGCATTTCCCTGACAATGCAGAGAAGTATGCCTGTACTAAGAGACACACCTTTGGCTTGAGGACAAACGCACACACCCTCAGCATATAAACACACTTTCACTCTGACAGAACAAAGCGCACATGAACGCACATCGCCCTGGTGACGAGCCAATCACGGTAAACATGGTAAAATATTGTGTGTCAGCCACTGAGAGCATTCGCCATTCATTCCTAATGATGTGAATTTCTCCAATGGAAGATGCCAATATAATGCTTATTATTATTATTGTTATCATTATTCATTAACAGTTGAGTAATTTTTACCATGCTTCTTACATGATTAGAAAGACATTATCATTAGCATTTATCTAAATTAAAAAGCATTTTAACATTACGCACTATACCATTATCTTATTTTAATTTGGTAAAGAAATCATCAATATTTATGATTTTATTTAGCAAAGATGCATTAAATTAATTAAAAGTGAGGATAAAGATGTTTATAATGCCACAAATAGGTTATTCCTGATGATCTGAATCTCTCCAATATAATATGTTGATTTAATGTTCGACAAACGTTCATTATTATTTATTAACAGTTGAGTAATTTTTTTAAATCCAGATTCTTTGATGATTAGAAAGAAAGATCCGCATTTCCCATAAGAACCCACTGTGACGCGGGTGTCGCAAACAATAGTGATCATCTGGAAAGGTCTTTTTAAAGCATTATTCCTCATTTTCAACTTGGGAAGTCTCAAAGTGACGTATAAGCAACATCCAGCTTCAGTCACGTGAGAATGTGTGTATTTTTGTTGCCATGGCAACATGTCCAAAACGGTGGACTGTGTGGGGAGCACATGTTGCAGTGTCATCAACTTTTAAATATTCTTGTTTTTATTATTAAAGGTATGTTTTGACCCATTTAACTATTCAGATATTTTATTAACACATCGTAGAATACAAGTACCGTGATTTTAATACATTTCTTGAACAAAATGATATAAATCAAGGTACGAAGATTTAACAGCCCGACATCGGGCTGTTAACCTTAAAACAGTAGGTGGAACTTTGATGCGACATATTTGTCACATTAAGTAAAATAGTACCAACTGCTCAATTAATTTAGCTGATTAAATTATTTTAGCGTTCTATATTTTCTACTGCTCTTTTCAAAGCATATATTAACAAAAAAAATGTAAATAATGTCACTTTAAATATATTGTTAATGAAATGTATTTTGTAACATTTCATATATGTAACATTACAGATCTTTCACTAAGAGGGGTTGCATTTCAAAAACAACTGTAGAAACATGTTATAAGTGGTCCATTTGGTCAGTATTATATGCCCCATAATTTTCCTAGAAGGAGAAATCAGTCCGGGTTCTTATGGGTTAATCTGAATTTAAGCGCATTTGTAACACTACGCACTGTACCATTATCTTTCTTCTTTTAAATTTGGTAAACAAATCATCACAATTAATGATTTTATTTAGCAAAGATGCATTAAATTTGTAGATGCGAATATTTTGGTTGTTGGTTCTGACGTGTTTGTTGCTTGAACGGGTCAATAAAAAAAGTGAAATGTCCATATCCTTGCAAATAAAGTTGGATATTCCAATCCATTTATTGTCCATTTTGTCAAAATTAAAAAAAAGTAAACATCAAATCAAATATAAACCCGTTCTCACAGCCATGACGGTCAAAAAGTTTGTTGGACCTTCTTCTACGCCCCTCAGCTCGTCGTGAGGAGAGCATAAATACCATATACACCCTCTAGTGGTGCGAAAGAAAATTGCAACCCATAAATAGCTCCAACAAATTTTTTATTTTTTGTTTTTTTATTGGTTTTAATGAACATACCACGTAAACAAAAAAGGGCAAAGACAAATGTATCAGTAGACAAGTATAGCAGCAAAAGGCAAAGAATAAAGTAAATCAATAAATAAATGAAATAATAATAATAATAATAAAGAAATAAATAAACCTACGGCTCCAACAAATTTAATTAAAAGAATAAAGACGTTTATAATGCCACAAATAGGTTATTCCTGAGGATCTCAATCTCTCCAATATAATATGTTGATTTAATGTTCAACAAACGTTCATTATTATTATCATCATTATTTTCATCAATATTTATCAACAGTTGAGTACTTTGTTTTTCAGGATTATTTGATGATTAGTCAGTTTTGGCATAAAAATAAATAAAGTTTTCAGCAGAATAGCGAAACCCTTTCTAGGTTGTTTGTGTAGGCTTGTGTTTTACGGCACTCATAAATGTCAATGTCAATGTTTTAAAACAATCATTTTTTATTTAGTCCCAACTTCACACCCGTCACCTCCATAAGCAGGCTCTTTCCTCATAAATGCAAGGAATATCCTGCTGATCTCATTATCTCAATATTAATATGTTAATTATGTTATTAATATATTAATATGTTTATTTCCCTCATTTATAATAATATTAATAATAATAATTCGTTACATTTATATAGCGCTTTTCTGTGCACTCAAAGCGCTTTACACAATGGGGGGATCTCCTCATCCACCACCAGTGTGCAGCATTCACCTGGATGACGCGACGGCAGCCATTTTGCGCCAGACCGCACACCACACACCAGCTGATTGGTGGAGAGGAGACAGAGTGATGAAGCCAATCATGATATGGGGAGGGTTAGGAGGCCATGATGGACAGAGGCCATTGGGCAGATTTGGCCAGGATGCCAGGGTTAAACCCCTACTCTTTTTCGAAGGACATCCTGGAATTTTTAACGACCACAGAGAGTCAGGACCTCAGTTTAACGTCTCATCCAAAAGACGGCGTTCACTGAGCAGTATAGAGTCCCCGTCACTATACTGGGGCATTAGGACCCACACAGACCGCAGGTTGAGCGCCCCCTGCTGGCCTCACTAACACCACTTCCGGCAGCAACCCAGCTCTCCCATGTGGTCTCCCATCCAGGTACTGACCGGGTGCAGCCCTGCTTAGCTTCAGTGGGTGACCATGTGAGAGTTGCAGAGAGCTAGCTGTCTAGCTATAATAATATAAAACATGTGGTTAGCAGTTTTGTTAAATATAAACAGATGCTTTAATATAATGTTAACATTTACTCTCTCTGTGCATGTATGTGTTGAGTTTAACTG